ACCTACTAAGGGGGACAATTGCACCCAAGGGACACTATTGGTTCTCAGTTGAAAGGGGGACACCCCAGTACTACCGTGTGGGGTAGCCCGATAAATGGCCAAAATGTGATCGACAATGACCAGCCAGGGTCGGGTGTCTCCCGCAGTGATATTTCGTCTAAGGGCCGTCTTAATCAGTCGGTTGGCATTCTCTACCAGGCCATTGGCTTGAGGCCAATGCCCCGGTGAGTAGATAATCTTAACGTCCGCCCAGACTAGGTGACGTTCTACTTCGCCTTGAAATTCCGACCCATTGTCCATGTGTACCTCTTCTACGTCTAGATGCATACACAAAAATCGATTTACGTACCAGGCTACTTTCTGAGAATTCCGGCTGGTCATAGGGTACGCCTCGATCCATTTTAAAAAATGATCGAAGGCCACTAAAAGAACATTGAGCTCTCCCTGATCGACGGGCCCTCTCGGAACGTTGATATCCGTCGTATCAATGCTAACCCTCTGAAAGGGGCGCTCTACACGAGTTGGAACCATCGTCCGAGGCATCTGTACCGGCGCCTTGTCCGCCACGCAGGCCGGGCAATTCCGAACGATGCATTTCACATCTTCCCGAATTCCCGACCAGTACCATCCGTTCTTTTCGATGGCTTTTTCCGTGTACTTGACCGCGAAATGGACCGCATCCTCCTTATGAGCAGCTCGTGTCCAATCGAACCTAGCAAGAGGGTGTGGAACCGTCAACCGGCTAGACTCTCCGTCGTCATCGACCTTCCGTTTTTGTAACGTCGGGCCCAGCCAGTGATAGTCCTGTGCCCGCTCCGTGACTCTCCGCCGTTCGGCTTTGGTAAGTTCTGACAACGAGTCGCCTGACAGTCTCCGTAGAAACAGAAGGTCCGTCCAGGCTTCTGCCCGGCGGGCACTTGGCGCAAATCCGTCGGCTGTTCTAGCGTCCAGATACCGCTTCTCGGTAGGGACTTGGTCCGTTCTACAGTTGGGACGGACCCACGTCTTTTCACTTCGGTACCTAACGCACTGTCCGTGAGATTTGACCGTATGACACTGACTACACTGTACCCATAAAAGAAAACTGGACCCTCCCGGATGTGACCCTTCTTGGTCCTGGATCATGGGCAAGGTACAAAAGAAACAGGGACTTAGGTGTGTTTCAGGGGACAAGTTGGGGCTAGACGAGAGAGCGAGGGAGTGGGATGAGGGCAGAGATATAGCGTCGGCCATCTCCGATGAAACCTCCATTCCGGACTCAGGCGTCGTCCTTACGCAGCACGTGTAGCTCCCCGTAGTGCGGTTTCGTCGCCGCGACTTCTAGCCTCCACGGAATGAGTCGCTCGTTGGCGGGACACTTGTTGGGCGGCAGAAGGCGCGTTAATCCATCGGCGTTACCATGCTGCCGCGTGGCACGGTGGCGGATGTCGAAGTCATAGTCTTGCAGACGCACCGCCCACCTGCCCAGCGTCCCCGTGTAGTCCGTGTTGTTGCGGAGGGACAGCAGCGGCTGATGATCCGTTACCAACACGAATTTATGGCCGTACAGATACGGTCGGAAATGCTGAATCCCCCACACCACCGCCAAGCATTTACCTTTGCACGCTTCGTAATTAGCCTGCGCCTGGCTCAGCGTCTTGGACGCATACTCAATGACGTGCTCCCTTCCGTCCTTGCCGTGCTGAGTCAGCACCGCCGATATCGCCTGAGGCTTCCAGTCTGTGTACAGTGCGAACGGTCTTGTCGGGTCGGGGCGTGCCAACGCGGGATCAAAAGGTCAGAGCCTCCTTCAACGCCTAAAACGCCGCTTCGCATTCCGCGTCGAGATCAGCTGTTCCTCTTTCTTCAGCAGGTTCGTGAGGGGCTTCGCTATGCCGGCGAACCCCTTGATGAAGCGTCGGTAATAGGATGCCAGCCCTAGAAAAGCCCGAACCTGGGTGAGTGTGACCGGCGCCGGGGCGTCTTGAACTGCTGCCACCTTCCTCGGATCCCGTTTTAGTCCATCGACCGTGACGATATACCCCAAGAATGAGATCTCCGACAAGAAGAACTCGCTTTTCTCCAAGGCCACTTTGAACCTTGCATCTTCCAGTGCATGCAAAACCCACTCAATGTGTTCCACGTGGTACTCGTGTGTTTTTGAAAAGACCAAAATATCATCCATGTACACAATCACGCAGAAATTGATCAGGGGCTGGGTATGTCGGGTTTTGTTAACGAACTCAGCGAAGGCCATATTCATGGCCCGCTGAAACATTGCAGGGGCATTATAAATTCCCATGGGACACCGGACCCATTGCCACGTCCTGAAATAGGACAAAGGCGATTTTGGGTCGGTCCTCCGGTCGGACTGCGACGTGGTGAAAACCGTGTCGGATATCAAACTTGGAAAAGACTCAAGCGACCCCGATAGCATCTAACAAATCATCGATTCGCGGCAAGGGATACACATCTTTGGTAGTGATGGCGTTCAATTTTCGGTAGTCGATACATACCCGAACCGAGCCATTTCGTTTTGGCACAAGGACCACGGGAAAAGACCATGGTCCCAGCGATGGTTCGACGCACCCCAACCGCTCGAATTCCCGTACCCTTTCCAACGCCAGCTGCCTTTCTTTAAGGGAATATCGATACGATCGGCAATGTATCGGGGCGTGATCCCCGGTGTCAATCGCGTGTTGTATCAAAGGGGTTAGCCCTATGTCGTGGTCCTGAATGCTGACGGCCTCAGGATAGGCCCGTATAACCGCCAAGAGGAGGCGTTTGTATTCGTCCGGAACACGGGCTGGTAACTGGACTTCTACGGTTCCCCCAGGAAAGGAGACCGTCGTCGTAACCGTGGGGACCGCCGCGTTGGCATCGGGCGAGGCCCCAAACAAAGAGTTGTCGGTTTTCGCCGAAAGGACCGTCACAATAAGTTGGTTGTCCGCTGGACTCATCGGCTCGCTTTCCAGGTCACTACCACTGTCCAGTTCGGGTTCGGCCGAGGGTTCGACCGAAAAGGCCTGCGCCAGTTCCCTCGGTCCCCACCGATACTCCCTCGTTCGGGGTTGAAACGACACCCCCTCTTTCAGGAGTATCGCGGCTTTTTCATTCGTGAGTAGGGGCCGTGGAGGTCGAAAAGATAAATCGCACAGCCCCCTCAGCTCGGTAAATCTTTCAGGTAGGGGGTCTGTCTTGAGATACAAGGACGCAGGGGGTTCCGAAAGGTCAGCTATTCGGGACATCCTCAGCAGGGGTTCCCCCTGCACCACGGAGGAGAACGCGTGCGACCAATTGGACTCGCTTCGAACTATTTCCAGTGGTTCTCGCCGCCAAGAATGGCGCCACCGATCTTGAACTCGGATCGGATATCGGTCGGGTACATCAGTCTTGTCAGTTTTCGTCGAGGGTTCATTTTCGTCTGGTGACAAGCGTCGGATCATGTTGATTTGATGGGCTTTAGTGGTGAGGTGAGGCGCCGGTTGGGTGCGCATGCGCACCGCCAGTCTCATTGGTATCGTTTGGGGTTTGGGGTGGGCCGATGTGAGCACCACCTTACAGCTGTCAAATTGCATTCGTGCTCCGACCACCGCCTGCCACGGAATGCCTAGCAGAACATCATACGCCTGTACATCCAGCACGATCACGTCACACAAACAATGCACCCGCCCCACCCGTATGGGCACGTTCGTTATTCGCCCTTTACAATGAATATTATCTTCCGTAGCGGATATATACAGTTCATCCGGCCGGAGGGGCTGAACCTGTCCTTCCCTTCTCAACTGTTTCGTCAATGTTCAAGAAATGGCGACTGCCGATGATCCCGAGTCTAGGATGGCGGCCGAGGGGTTTCCCTTGACCTCACAGTCACACTCTACGCTTTTCCAGGTTATAGGATAGGCCCGGAGGAATACCTTGGGTTTTTTCGAGGCAGAAAC